ACACAAAGGTAGAGAAAAAGGTAAGGTGAGTACTGTGAATATGTGCATATATATATATATATATATATATGTTTTTCAATTTAAGACGAACATTATTTCATTGATAGCAGTTATTTAAACTATTAAAGAGTAAAAATCATCGATATTAACCCAAAATAATGCAAATCGCAAACCGATGCTAACTGATAGATCTGGAACTTCAGAGATTGGGGAAATACCGACATGCAATAATTCGAACCTGGCAAACTCGGATGCGGGTATTATTCTTCTCCGTTTGGTTCTTGAAGCGTTTCTGAAAATCATTACCTTAGATTTCAATTTAAGTAGCCTTATGGCTTTCAATGAAATCAGTACTCCAAAATTCCTCGGTCTTGAAGATTTTATAGGCAAATCGATGTTAATCGCAACCTCGATTAAGTAGAAGTGGTCTTCTAGTGTGTTGAGATTTCACGACTTTTCAAGACTCTCTACAATATCGGAAGATATTGACCCTTTACTGAAATTGTATTCATTTGACGACCTTTAATGTCAATGAATCTCATAGAAAAGCATAGCAATACCGAGGAAGTGCTCACCTCAGTCGGGCCGTAATTAGTAGTCTGACAAGGTGGGAAAGGTGGCAGACACGCGTTGGAGGACACGCGCGCCATCAGACGATATTCACAGACTGCGCCGTAGAGGCTCTTTTCTCCCGAACCTGGCGATCCCAAATCCTCCGGTTGATAGACACCATCCATACTACCGCTGGTACTGCTTCCACTTCCATCGCGTTTCTTGGCGTAGATTAGGAGTCTGTAGGCACCATGACGCGGAGGACGAATGTAGAAGGCTACGCAGCATTCCTTGTGAAGCACCTCCTGACGAGTATATCGCCTGGAGGAAATAAAAGAAAACTGAATGAGTTAAGTGAAATTAAAGATATTTACCTTAGTACTGGGGTGTGTAAAAGTCAATCTTCCACCACTTTTACAGCACTATTATTGATTAAGAATACAGCATATGAACATTGTGGCTTTCTCCACTCCTCTTACTCAGATAGTAATTGGTTTTTTGGTCGTTCAATACATGCTCTAGTCTCGATTGACACTAATGATAAAGCATGCAGCATAAGATTATCTAAATGTGATCAACTTCCATCCCCCTCCAAGACATCTCGAAGAGATATGTAACTGCTTTTGAGGAGCTTTGTGTAGCTCCCTACGCATTTCAGATGAGTGTTGAATCATAACTGTCCTCCC